CCTGTGCCCCTATGTGTCTGAGTGTGCATGGCTATGGGTGTGACTCTGTGCATGTTTATCGGCAGGCGGGAGAGTCAGCCCCCTTCAGCCCTGTCAAACATGCCATCTGGTTCTTTGGGATTCCCCTGACCCTGTTCCCTGCCCTCACATGCCAGTGCTCTCACTTGAGTGATCAGCTTCTGGCATCCAGTCTAAAGGAAGCCTCATCTGTTCTCTCATCAACCCAGTGCTTTGCAGGGAGATCTAGAATCCTGAAATAATCAGGATGAATCTAAGGGTAGTGAAGGAGACACTGGAATGCCCCATCAGATTCCCTTTTATCATTCTGTGTACACCATTCTATTGGCTTTTCCTGCTAACCATGTGCCTATACAACTCTCCTGGCTTGCCTTATACTACCAAAGACACTTTTTCTCATGTGCAGACAGGATGGTAAATGTCTGGGAGTAACATCACCCCACTCTCTCCTCAGGTGACCCTCAGACTAAATGGCGAAAGCCACCTAACTTGCTTTCCTTTGGAACAAACTCTGGAGCAAAAGTGACCCCCTCGGTCTCCTCTGAGGGATCAGGCCAAGGCTGCACTGAACTTGAGTCACAGGTTTGCTTAGCTTTTCCCCTTCCCTGCTCTGCTTTCCCACCTCCTTCTTTAGTTTCTCCCACAGGCATTTCCTTCACAAAGCAGTAATCTCAGGGTTTGCTTCTCGGGAGCCAACCTTAGACAGAGAGGATGAGCCTGGAAACCATGAACCCTGACTATATCCCTGCACCCCTACCAATGTACAAAAAGGACACTGAGGCTTAGAGAGGGGGTGTGTATTTACAGGGGCCCCCTCTTCACATGCTATGCTTACTCCCTTCATCTCCATCACCCACCTTACCACCACCTCCCCTGCAGGCCCCAGGTCCTCTCTCCAATGCCCCCAATATCCTTGGGTTAGGAAAGTTTCTTGAGCCTGCTTGGATCTCCCCATCATGGGGTTCCCCCTCATCTCTCCTTGGAGAATGAAGCAGTCAGGACTTAAAAGCAAAACAAGAAAAAAAAAAAAAAAGAGAGAGAGAGAAAGAGAGAAAGATAGAGAGAGATCTGAAGATGGGGATCAGCAAGGCAAGAATTCCTCTGGCAATGCCCCCTCACTGTCTCCAAGTAGGGACAACTGGGAGGCAAATGGGGTGTGTGTGATAAGATCTTACGTCTCATTCTCAGATGAGGCCGTGTATGGTAGAAAAGGTACTGTTCTGGAAATCGAGAGACCTGGATCCCAACTTCAACTCTCTTATCACCTGATGGAATAACTTGAAAGGAGTCAACCCTTCAGAGTTGAAACTTCAAGAGTTTCAAGAGTCAAAACAGCTGAGTCAATGCTCCGAAGGACTCTATTTCCTCCTCTGCAGAACAGCAGCAGTGGAGCACAGAGAAGCAGAGCATTTCGGGGACAAGATGCCAGCCTCAAATCCACTTCCTAGACACATGGCAATCTCTTCAAATAAACGAATCAGTTACTAACCCCATCTGTGCCTTAGTTTCTTCATTTGTCAGTGGAGAGGATAGCAGGACTGACCTCAGGGGTTGTTCTGAGGATTAAATGGGATAATACTGCACATAGAGCCCTTTGCAGGTCCCCAGCACACAGCGAGCTTTGGATAGCTGGTGGCTATTTTTGCCCTGGTTATGTATCATTCCAGAGTTGCGTAACCTGTGGCTTCACCAACTTGACACAACTCCTATGCTCTGTAAAAGTCAAAGGACATTGCACAGGGGAGACAATGTCTGGCAGAAGGAGGGTTTAAAGGGCTTTCCTTCTCCCAGTCCCACCTGCCCTGCCTCTAATGCCTTTCCTGGCTCCAGAAAGAAGAAACAGATTCCACAGGGGCTCCAGGCACAAGGCCAGGCCCCCCAGTGAGCTAATCCAGGTGGGATGAGTGTGCGTCTCTATCCTGACAGGGTCTGCTGAATAGCACTGCCAAATTCTATTTCCTTTCCATTTAGTGAAGTGGATAGAAATAATGCAGGCTTAACCTTTTCCCACCTTCCCTGCCAGCATTCATTCAGAGACGGTTTTATTGTTGTTACTGATTTTGCTGTTTTTGTTTTATTGTGATTCTTCAGGTTAGAATATGTATTTATTTTGTAGTATTTCTTTTTTTTTTAGGATGCCTAAGTAGTTTGGTTGAAGGTTGAACTGGTTTGGTCCTGAATCTCACCCTCTATGCATAATTTTGGCCATAGGTTGAAGATAGAAATAATAATCACAAAAATCATTGTCCCAAATGTGTTAATGTGTTTATCCATAAACACAGATAAGTAACAATTCTGTTAGTACATGTCATTGATTTCCCTGCGTACAGACTTAGAATATATGAAGAGTTCATATAATGTGTGTAATTTATCGTAGTATCTCCTTAAAAAGTATCTGTTTCTAATTAAAATCAGAGTTGAAAGGAATGACAGTTGTATATATGTACATATTCTATTCTTATAAATTATGAAAGCTCTGTCATCAAATAAGTAAACTGAAGAATTAAACCATTTGTCAATGTAATTGAAAGGAGATTTTCTATATCTCAGCAGCATAAAATGTCTTCATTTTTCTGAGCAGCTGACCTTAGAAATCATAGCCCACTTTGGAATAATGAATTATAAAGTTAAAAGTCTTGTTTTTTCATTGTCTCAGTGAAAACAACTTTTCAATGAGACTCCTCAAGTCATCTGAAACTAAGTCTTTATTCACCAAACTAAAACAACAGATAAACATGGTCTCCCCCAGGTCATTTTTCTCTTTGGATTGCTCCGTTCTGGGAACACAGACGTTAAACTCAAAAATTTTGTTTAGGGAAAACCAATCCTCTTCCTGACATTTCTAGTTTGAACTTTCTCTGTTTTCATTTGGCTGAATTGTTTTTGGTTTATATTTAACCAAAACTTATATGAAGTACAGAAATAAGGTAGAGTTTCTGATAATTTAAACCAAAGTGCCTTTCTATTTCTTCCTTCCACTTTTCTGTACTATACTTCTTCTACAGTGTGGGTCATAGCTATTTTTAAAAATATATCTTTCTGGGCTGGGCGCGGTGGCTCAAGCCTGTAATCCCAGCACTTTGGGAGGCCGAGGCGGGTGGATCACGAGGTCAAGAGATCGAGACCATCCTGGTCAACATGGTGAAACCCCGTCTCTACTAAAAGCACAAAAAATTAGCTGGGCATGGTGGTGTGTGCCTGTAATCCCAGCTACTCAGGAGGCTGAGGCAGGAGAATTGCCTGAACCCAGGAGGCGGAGGTTGTGGTGAGCCGAGATCGCGCCATTGCACTCCAGCCTGGGTAACAAGAGC